CTATTCTCTTCCTTCCTCTCTGTAAAAAAATCAATAAAAATATATTTTAAAATTAAATAATTCATAATAGACTCAAACATAATACATCCAAATCTAGACTGATTTTGATCCAAAAACTGTCCCTCCCTCCTCTCTTTCCATCTCGGTAAACAGGTCATCACCCACCAAGGTGTTCAAGCCAGAGTCCTGGGGGCCTCTCCCTCATCCTATCACCTGCAAGACATATTAGTTCCACCTAGAAGAAAGATTTCTAATCCATCCACTGTTTCTCTCTCTGCAATCCCCCTTGCTCAAACTTCTTTGCAATAGGCGCCACATTATTTGCTTTGCTGTTTCTTGCTCCCCTATAAGCCATTCTCTGCACAGTGGCCAGAGTGGATTCCCAGTGTAAAAGCAACATCAAACAGTAGTGATAACAGACACAAACAAAACAAATTTAAAAACCAGAAAATGGAAGTATTCTTTCATTCCTACACCTTTCTGCTCCTGGGTTCTGGAGTGGAGATGCAGAAATGGTGAGGCCAGAAAGGATAGAGCAAGGATGGACTTTAATAAAAGCAAGAATGGACTTAAAAAAAAAAGAATATATAATATATGACTGATTTTTTTTTTACAGAGAGGAAGGGAGAGAGATAGGGAGTTAGAAACATGGATGAGAGAGAAACATTGATCAGCTGCCTCCTGCACATCCCTTACTGGGGATGTGCCTGCAACCAAGGTACATGTCCTTGACCAGAATCGAACTTGGGACCCTTCAGTATGCAAGCCTATCCACTGAGTCAAACTGGTTAGGGCAAGAATGGACTTTTGAAGGTGAGAGGATGAGGCCAAAGAAAGAAGACCCAGGTCCAGGTCTGGCCTAGTTTTGGGGGAGAAGGAGATGATATTTAGAGAGAAGAGAGATTGGAGACTGTTGCTGTGCTGAGTAAAACTTAGATGGATCAAGATTTTTAAAATCATGTTTACTGAGACTCATGCCCAGGCATTTCCCTTTTGTACCTTGCATAGACTTCAGTAAATATTGGATTGCTTTTCATTTTTAGTTATCTGTTGTTTCTTTCTTTTTTAAAATATATTTTTATTGATTTCAGAGAGGAAGAAAGGAGGGAGAGGTAGAAACATCAATGATGAGAGAGATAGAAACATCAAAGAGAATCATTGATTGGCTGCCTTCTGCACATCCTACTGGGGATTGAGCTGGCAACTTCAAGCATGTGCCCTTGGCCAGAATTGAACCTGGGACCCTTCAGTCCACAGGCTGACATTCTACCCACTGAGCCAAACCAGCTAGGGCTTGTTGTTTCTTTTGAATGAGATGCTATGCTGACATAGGCAATGAGTGAACTCAGCTTTATTCAAGATACACCATTGCATTAAGATAAGTAAATAAAATCCGAATCCCTTACCAGAGCCTAAAAGTCACTGTATCATCTAGCCCCTTCAGTCTTATCTCTGAACTACTCTCCCCTTCACGGACACTGGTCTTACTTGGGTTCCTTAAACACCCAGAGTTTTTTCATTTTTCAGTCTCTATACAACTATTCCCTGTTCGGAATGCTCTTTCCACGGATAGCACATTTCAGGTCTCATCTTAAACGTCACCTTTTCAGAAAGTCCTTCCCACCTAGCTTAGCTCCATCTCCACTGTTCTCCTTCATGGCACTCTATGGCTTCCGTTACAGGACTTTGCAATTGGTAATTTACTCATGTGTGTGGTACTGTGTGTGTGTGTGTGTGTGTGTGTGTGTGTGTGTGTGTGTGCGTGTGCACACCCATGCCTGTTTTGTTCATTGTTTTCAGCAGATGTATGTTCAAGAGGACAAGGAGCTTGTGAGCTGCTCACTGCTGTAGAACCAATGTCTCTCACAGTGCTCTGCACACAGAAGGCAGCCACGAGCTTAACATTAAGAAGAAAATACATAATTGTGTCATAAATAACGACAACAGGGAAGCATGGCATTATTGTAAATGTGAGGAAGCTAGTTTAAGTGGCCTCCCTGATCTAAAAACTGATCCAGTGCTGGCCAAGGGACAATGGGGGCTGAGATGGTTAACACCGGCTCCAGCTGACATGCTCTCATTGAGATAAGTCCGAAACTGATGGAGTAGGGTAAGCTGTCAAGATGAAAAAGAGCATTTTCTGGAGCTAAGGAGTTTTCTGTTTCCATAGGAAACATGACTAGAAGCAAAAGGTGAACTCATGATTGAGCCAAGGACATTTTAACTCTGTGATCTAACAAACTTCTGTGCTGAAATGAGTCCGTTAGCTCAGAAAAGCTAAGTCTCTTGCTTTCAACAAATAGATCTCTAGTTAGCATGGGGGCAGGAGTGGGGTAGAAGTGTCAATGGAGGAAAAAAGGGGACATATATAATACTTTTAAATATATATATTTTATTGATTTTTTTACAGAGAGGAAGGGAGAGGGATAGAGAGCTAGAAATATCGATAAGAGAGAAACATCGATTAGCTGCCTCCTGCACGGACCAAACTGAGAATGTGCCTGAAACCAAGGTGCATGCCCACCCCCTCGTCAGAATCGAACCTGGGACCCTTGAGTCCGCAGGCTGACGCTCCATCCACTGAGCTAAATTGGTCAGGGCCATATGTAATACTTTTAAAATACATATATTTTTATTGATTTCATATAGGAAGGGAGAGATAGAAACATCAATGATGAGAATTATTGATTGGCTGCCTCCTGCATGCCCCATACTGGGGACAGAGCCTGCAACCCGGGCATGTGCCCTGATGGATAAAGTGACCTTCTAGTTCACAGGGCAACACTCAACCACTGAGCCATGACAGCAGGCTGTAATACTTTCAACAATAAAGATTTAATTTAAAAAAGTGATTGATCAGGAAGCCTAAGACACTAGGGCTGCTGAACGCTTTCAGTTTAATTCAGTAAATATATAGAGCTCCTTCTTTGTGCAGGACAAAGATAAAGCTTCCATGAAGTCCTTATTTAAAGGCTTATCTTCTCTCCTGTTTTAAGACTAGCCTTATCTCTCTGCATGGATCTTGCTGGCAGGTTCCTGTATGTCCTGTCTAGTGAGAAGCTATTTTTGTTTTCACTCCAGGTTCTGGGAATGGGTAGAGATGTTAGATCTACCCAGCCAACAAGGTATTCTCTGGGACTTAGGGCCTTTCTGTGTGGGAGAGAGAGAAGGAATAGGCTAAAAGGAGAGATGTGGACTTCTGAGTCATATGGAGATTCGGGAACTGCTGAGAACCTTGTGCATACCACATTCTCATTTACCTCTCAGTTAATAACCACAACCATCGGATGAAAGAGAAGGCACTGTTTAGCTGCATTTTACAGATAAGGGAACTGTCTGGGGACCTGTGAAAGGCCGGAGTAGGTGGTGGACCTGGGATCTGTCTGTCTTCCCTAGGTCCTCAAAGGCTTTCCATGGCAGTGCCCAGGGACCCAGTAGAATTTCGGGAACAGAGCAAATCACATCGCATCTTCCACTCCCACATTTTTAAAACATGAAATCTGTCTTAATATGTACATTTAATGAAGTAGTAAAGGGAAAAGAGGCCATGGCCAAGCAATCATTGCTCGAGAGGTGAATATATATGTGCGGTAAGATTCCACCCTTTTTTATTTTTTGGTCTTCATGAGGAGCCCCTAAGGTTATCTGAGAACTAACGTGGCTGCCTGTCTTCCCGAGTTCTTGCCGGTCACAAGGAGACCCGTTTCCTGCACTAGATAACGATGCGAACAGCTAGTCCAGTTCTGTCTCAAATGATGATGGTTGTGAAGATCAGATAAGGCCCTTGGTAAAGGAAGGCCCTCCACAACCTTGTAGGGTAGCAGACATCTTCCCCAGGAACCAGGGGCCTGGGAAGCAGCTGATGAAAATAAATCCTTGATGAGACACAGGGGGGTGGCAACAGCCTGTGATAACCGGACTTTGTGGATACAACCCACAAGCGCACTCCAACAAGCAAGTCCAATCTCCCGGAGACGTGGCTCTCGGTAAAGCTGAATGAAAAACGACACGAGGTGGGTGTCCAGTGCCATTCAGATGAACTACATTTCTTCTCCTTGTGTAAGCCCTGCCCAAACGTGGATGGAATTAGGACAGAACAGGAAAAAAAAAAATCAAGAAAAAAGCCATGGACACGTCCTCTCGGTCAGGGCGCACGGAGGGGAAAGGAAACGAATGAGGAAAGCCTGGAGACATCCCCGGAGACGGCTCCGCCTCGGGACGTTCTCGTGGGCATCCTTCCAGCCTGGGCGCCCAGGGCTGCCCTCCGTGGCCCGGGGGCGCGCGTGGCCCGGCGCGCGCGCGCGCACTCCCGTGTACACACACACACACACACACACACACACACAGGCGCGCGCACGCGCACTCCCGTGTACACACACACACACAGGCGCGCGCACACGCATTCCCGTGTACACACACACAGGCGCGCGCACGCGCACTCCCGTGTACACACACACACACAGGCGCGCGCACACGCACTCCCGTGTACACACACACAGGCGCGCGCACGCGCACTCCCGTGTACACACACACACACACACACACACACACACACACACACACACACACGCGCCACACATACACACGGCCTTCTCGCCGCTCCCCCCCGCCCCCCCACGGGAGGGGGCGGGCTGCTCTCGTTAAAGAGCGGACGGTCTCCGCGCAAAGCCAGGCTCTGTTAGGCCCCGGGGGCCAGGGCCCGAGCTGCCGGCAGCCAATGGGCGCGGCGGAACGGCTCGAGCGCGGCTGACGCTGCGCCAATGGGCGTGCGCGGGGGGCGGGGGCAGCGGCGGAGACACTATTGTTGATGAGAAGCGGCGGCGGCGGCGGCGGCTGCACCACCTCCTAGCTGCCTGCCGCGGCCCGGGCGCCCCCCGCACCCCGGAATCCGGCTTCGTCACCCCGTCGTGGGGCCTTCTCTTCGGCCTCGAGAACCTTCCCCCTTCAGCCCGACAGCCGCCCCCGCCCCCGTCTCGCCCAGTCGCCGGGGAGCGTGGACCATGTCTCAGCGGATGAGGCGCAACGGGTCCCCCACGCCGGCCGGCGCCCTCGGGGGCGGTGCGGTCGCCACGGCCGGGGGAGCCGGGAGCCGCCTGCAGCCCATGAGGGCGACGGTTCCGTTCCAGCTGAAGCAGCAGCAGCCGCAGCAGCAACATGGCAGCCCCACGCGGAGCGGCGGCGGCGGCGGCGGCGGCAACAACGGTGGCTGCCTCGGTGGCGCCTCAGGCCCCTCGGGCGGCGGGGGCCTGCGCACGGCCCCGCGCAGCACCAGCCCCACGCGCGGCGGCGGCGGCGGCGGCAGTGCGGCCGCGCGCACCAGCCCCACCGTGGCCACGCAGACCGGCGCGGCGGCCACCTCCACGCGAGGCACCAGCCCCACGCGCGGCGCCGCGCCCGCAGCCCGCGCGAGCCCCCCGCGCCCGCAGCCCCCGCCGCCGCTGCTGGGCACCGTCTCGTCGCCGAGCTCGTCGCCCACCCACCTGTGGACGGGCGAGGTGAGCGCGGCCCCACCCCCGGCCCGCGTCCGCCACCGGCGGCGCTCCCCGGAGCAGAGCCGCTGCTCCCCGGAGAGGCGGAGCCCCAGCGCCCCGGTCTGCAAGGCAGGTACGTGCCGGGGGCCGGGCGGCGCGGGCCGGGGCCGGCGCTACCGCGCGGGGACTGCGGCGCTGCGGCGGGGCCGGGGCGGCCGGGGGCGGGGCCCGGGTGGGGCCGACCCGCCTGCCCCGCGGGGTCCCCCCTCTCCATCCCGTGGCCCTTCCTCCCCACCCCCACCCCCACCCCCACCCCCACCTCCCGCAGGTCCCCGCCCGCCTCATTCATCCCTCCCCGCAGCCAGGCCACGCTGGTCCCCGACCGCGGAGGGGCCGCGGCTGCCTGTGCGGCTCTGATGTGTGTGGAGGGTAAACCTGGGGTTCCGGCCGCCCGCGGGCTCCTGCTGACCTGCTCACCCCCCTTTGGTGGCGAGGCTGGGGGCGGGTGGTCACTTTGTGTTAGCGACATGGTTCACGGGAGTACCGCACACTGCTGCTAAGCATCTCTCTTTCACAAAACACGGCCCAGGTTTGCGGGACTGAAGACGTCAGCACGGCAGACCAGGGCCCCTGCAGAGTCGGGCGGCTGGGAGGGAGGCAAGGAAAGGAAGAGGATGCCTTTGGAAGGTTTATGGGCTTTGTCTGAGGGGCTGCGTGTATTTCTGACATGCCGACCGGTTTTGTGCGGAGGATGTAAAATCATTCATTTGTTTTTTTTCTAAAAAAAAGAAAATCCAGGGTTTTTCTATTATTTTAGGGACTAATTTTTTTTTTTTTTTTTTTTTTTTCTCTATACCTGAGGAACGTCCCTGGAAAGGTCCTGAACGGAGTGGTTGAGTCATTCATAAAGAGTAACTCAGTAGAGAAATTCAGATTGGGGAAATAGAGGCAAAATTTATTACCTGATTGTCTTCCTGTTAGAATCTAGTGAAGAAAGATGTGAGTGGTTTTTAGCTTGTGCGTGAGTACTGTCAACATACACCTTTGTCTTCCCTTTTTCTGGGGAATTTCTGTTTAAATCTCGCAGGCAGAATGGCTGGGAATTTCAGGAAACTGTACAGTACTTCCTAATCAAATAAAACAGATGGAGTGATTTCAAAGGTTCATTCAGAAATGCAGGGAGTAGGGTGAATCTTTCTTATGTATTTTATCAGGATTTTTGGAGAGAATTGCCCTGAAAAATGATCAATAGTGTTTTCTAAGTAAAGCCAGAGTGCTGATTTAAATATTTTGAAAATGCAAAGTGCTTTTTAAAAACTGTTAAAAGTACTGGAACATCCTCTTCAAATAATAGCTACCACTTTACTGAGCTTCCACCTGTAGGTGATTTACCTACAGGTTCTCATTTTAATTTTCACAGTAGGTTTTAGAGAGCTTAAGTAACAAGGATTACAGTTGATATTTGAACTCTGCTGCGTGGTACTTCCAAACTCCTTTTACCTTATATCAAGGCGGTAGCTTTATGATGTATTAATATAAGATAGGACCTGGGAAATACTGCACACCAAAGCTGCATGTGCTTAGTTTTTGAAGTAACTCTTCGAGGTATCTGGGGAACGTTATTGCTCCAGTTTACTGTCAGACCTCTGGAGCTGGCATAGTGTGTGGCAGGTAGAAGGGAAGGAGAGCTGCTAAGTGGGGGCAGTAGAGAGAGGTAGGAGGTGGTGACTGCATTCCGATTGTAGATTCTGGCTACCCTCCAACAGTTTAACCCTTGAAGTAGAGCAGCAGTCTAGGAAGAGAGGGTAACATTAGGTATTGGCAATGTGTGGAGAAAGGTGCTCTTTTCTTCTGATCTCTAGAACAGAGTTGTTGGATTTCCAGGGATCTCAGGCTCCTGACATGCCCATTCTGCCCATGCTTCCCATAGCTCCCTCCCCTCAGTCTGTTATTCCATAGAGTATTCATGCTCTTAAATTAACCCGCTCATTACCCACCCTCCAAAAAAACCCCAAAAGTAAAAAACTCTTTCCTCTAATGCAGCACTCTCAACTGAAAAGGATACCATCTGTTACTAAGTTATATTGAAGTGGTTGTCTGATAGCTTCCTTTCCAGGATTGTATTCTTGTTTCATTCTGGTGAACTTCCATGCAGAGTAGAACAAACAATTTTCAGATTTCAAGTCTTCAGAGCACAAACTAGACCATTTGCATTTTGCTTTTTTTCTCAGACTAAAACTGTAAAGAGAGAAAAGGAAAAAGAGTATGTATGTATGTATGTATGTATTTACTAGAGGCCCTGTGCTCAACCTTCGTGCACCAGGAGCAGGGGGTTCCCTCAGCCTGGCCTGCCCCCTCTCGCAGTCCAGGACCCCTCAGGGGATGTCCGCCTACTGGCTTAGGCCTACTCCCTGCCGGCAGGTGGACATCCCCCAGGGGTCCTTGGTGCTGCTGTGGAGGCGGGAGAGGCTCTCACCGCCTCCGCTGTACTTGCCAGCTGTAAGTCCGGCTTCTGGCTGAGTGGTGCTCCCCCTGTGGGAGTGCACTGACCACCAGGGGGCAGCTCCTGTATTGAGTGTTTGCATCCTAGTGATCAGGCTGGCAGGGGGGACAGTTAGGGGCAATCAGGCAGGCAGGCAGGTGAACAGTTATAAGCCAGCGGTCCTGGATTGTGAGAGGGATGTCCGACTGTGGGTTGGGATTGGGCCTAAACCTGCAATCGGACATCCCCTGGGGGGTCCCGGATTGGAGAGGGTGCAGGCTGGGCTGAGAGGGACCCCTCCCCCCATGCATGAATTTCGTGCACTGGGCCTCTAGTCTATAATAATAAAAGTGTAATATACTAATTAGACAGGACAATCAAACTACCTTCCTGATGTCCTTCGGGCTGTGAGGGGTGAGGCAAGCCGCAGTGGCCTTGAGGGCTGAGCCCCTTGCATAAATTTTGTGCATGAGGCCTCTAGTTTTTATTTTATTTTATTTTATTTTATTTTTTTATTGTTTGAAGTATTACTAACAGTAGTACCTATGTCTCCTCCCCCCCCCCCATTGACCTTCCCCTAGCCTCCTCTACCCCCCAGTACATGCCCTTTACTGTCCCCTCCCCCCGTGTCTTATATCCATTGGTTATGCTTATATGCATGCATACAAGTCCTTTGTTTGATCTCTTACAGTTCCCCCCTCATCCTCCCTTGCCTTCCCACTGTAGTTTGACAGTCTGTTCAATGCTTCTTTGCCTCTGTATCAATCCCCCCCACCCCCCATTTTTTTTCCTTTGAAAATTCTTGCCTCTGCTGATTAGAAATAAACATATAATAACAAAAATGTTTGAGTCCCAATTTCAATGTCCAATAATTCTGAGTCCCTGTTTTAATGTCAAACAGTTCCTTATGTGATATCTGGATGGTGGACACATGGTGGCAATGCAGGTCCAACCCTTTCTGGTTTGGTCCTACGCAACCTGCAGCGACGTGCAGGTGCTGACTGTTAGCATGGCAAGGCATCGTCAGTGTCTTCCTTCTCTGGACTGTTTCTCCTCTTGTCTTCATGGTTGGAGCAGACCTGTCAATTCCTCTGTGTTGCAGGAATCCACATGGTTTTGGAATTGTTTTCTGAAACTATACAAACATATTCTTGACCAAAAGTTAATAAAGGAATCTTTTCTATAAAATTGATTTGGGATCCTTATTTTTGCCCAAACGATTTTCCTTTGTCTTATTTAGACACCATGTGTGTTTTTCATGGGTGTCTTGCTGTTAGCATTACAAATGAAAATTAATTTTATAAAGTAAAAATTTTATAGATGTAATTTATTAGCCATGTATTTATTTACCATGTGTGTATTAGTGGAAATGGTTATTTACCTTCTTGAGAAGGGCCTGAGCATTCCTGCTACTAGGCTGGACTTGGATATTAAAAACCCACTTGCCCACACCATGGGTACAAGACCTCTCAAACAAGTCTTATTGCAATGAGAGGGCAAGTCTGTCAGCCAAGTCTCTGTCACCTGGGTCCCAATGTGAGCTGTGGTAAAAAATATATATTTTATTGATTTTTTTACAGAGAGGAAGAGAGAGGGACAGAGAGTCAGAAACATCAATGAGAGAGAATCATCGATCAGCTGCCTCCTGCATCCCCCCCCACCCTCCCCCGGGGACGCGCCTGCAGCTAAGGTACATGTCCCTGACCGGAATTGAACCTGGGACCCTTCAGTCCACAGGCTGACACTCTATTCACTGAGCCAAACTGTTTTCGGTGAGAGTAAATTTTAAAATAGTACTGTATCTCATCATAAAAGCTGGCTATTGTGTATCATATTAGTTGCCTCTAGTTTTAGTGAATGTAATATAGATTGCCAATGTAGGCTTAGTTTTCATGGTTGTATGAAATTTCATGTTGGAGAGAATATTGACTGTGAACATCCAGAACTGTCTTTCAAAGTGTGGTCTAGTTCATCTTGATCAGAATCACTTAGGGTCCTTGATAAAAATGCAAGTTACCAGACCCTGGTGCAGACCTTGAAAGCCTCATCTCCACCCGCTGTGGTTTTACTGTCCTCTAAAGCAAAAAAAAAGTGACTAGAAGCACCAAAAGAAAATCTGAAAAGTCCTCATTAGAAAAAATGGCTTTAGTACAGTATGTGTCAAGGTTATTTTTTGCAGTGTGGCTGATACGTAGATAGCAAGTTGTGGTTTTGCTAATTTCTCCCTTATTTTGGATGCATTATGTTGTGTGTGGATTTGGTTGTTTATTGGGGTGGAGGAAGTGGCAAGAGCAACAAGAGATTGAGGTATCTAGACTAATAATCAGGGTATCAGAACTTAATGTTTACAGCATCTTAGACTTGTACTATACTTTTGTTGTTAATCCTCACCTGAGGATTTTTTCTATTGATTTTTAAAAATATATATTTTATTGATTTTTTATAGAGAGTTAGAAACATCAATGAGAGAAATATGGATCAGCTGTCTCCTGCACACCCCCTACGGGGGATGTGCCTGCAACCAAGGTACATGCCCTTGATTGGAATTGAACCCGGGAACCTTCAGTCTGCAGGTCGATGCTCTATCCACTGAGCCAAACCGGTCAGGACTCTATTGATTTTTAAAAACTATGTTTTTATTGATTTTTTTTTTCTAGAGAGAGAGGAAGAGAGAGGGAGAGAAAAAAACATTAATGATGAGAGACTCATTGATGGGCTGCCTTCTGCGCGCCCCACACTGGAGATTGAGCCCACAACCTGGGCATATGTCCTGAACTGGAATTGAACCAAGACCTCCTGCTTCATGGTTCAACCACTGAGCACACATGCTAGGGTTTCCCCACTTTTTGAACAAATAATTATGTCTAGTGTATCCCTTCTTCTTGTTAAATGATTTTGTGGATAACAGGAACTACAGCCTTTAAGTCAATAGCTGATCAGGTTTTAGAACCTTTATAATGTAATACCTAGGGCCATGGTTTGGGATGCTCCACTGTCATTGAAGCTGCACAGGAACCAGTTGAACTAGTACAGGTGGTTTAGGAGTTCCAAATGCCGTTGACTGAAATTTTAATGCCACACCCTATTGTAGTTAACTTCTGTAAAGATTTGATTTTCCTGTGTGTTTTAAAAAAATATATTTTTTATTGATTTAAAAAAATATATATATTTTATTGATTTTGAACAGAGAGGAAGGGAGAGAGATACAGAGTTAGAAACATCGATGAGAGAGAGTCATCGATCAGCTTCCTCTTGCACACCCCCTACTGGGGATATGCCCGCAATCAAGGTACATGCCCTTTATTGTTCCCAAGCAGACGCTCTATCTATTGAGCCAAACCGGTTTCGGCATATTTTATTGATTTTTTACAGAGAGGAAGGGAGAGGGATAGAGAGTTCGAAACATCGATGAGAGAGAAACATCCATCCGCTGCCTCCTGCACACCTCCTATCTGGGATGTGCCTGCAACCCAGGTACATGCCCTTGACTGGAATCAAACCTGGGACCTTTCAGTCCGCAGGCCCTTTATCCACTGAGCCAAATGGGTTAGGGCATTGTGTGTGTGTGTGTGTGTGTGTGTGTGTGTGTTTCTTGAGGTATAATTAACAAGTAAAATTGCAAGACATTTAAAGTGTACATCGTGATTTTAAAAGGATTCCTCCCATCTATAATAGTTTGTCACCTCACTTATTTTTCTCCTCTTCCTCCTCCTTTTGCTATGCCTCCTCTTCCTCCTCCTCCTCCTTTTAGAGAACATTTAAGTTCTATTTCTTAGCACATTTCAATTATACAACAGTATTGTCAACTATAGTCACCATCCTATCTAATAAAGAGGGGATATGCTAATTGACCATCACTCTGTCACAAAGATGGCTGCACCCACAGCTGAGGCCAAGTTTCCATAAAGGAGCCTTAACAAGCAGTCAGCAGGGACCTGAAGTTATCCCCTCCCCAACCACCATGGGGCTTGATAAGGGACCTCAGGACATGCCCCCCCACCTGGTAGGGCTTGACAGGGGACTTCAGGCTGTGCCCCCCCACTCCACCCAGCAGGGCTTGACAGGGGACCTCAAGGTGGGCTTCCCATCCTGGTCCTGGTGCTGGGCTAGGAGACCTCAGGCTGCTCCCCCCATCCCAGCGCCAGGCTGGGGGACCTCATACCATGCCCCCTGCCTGGCTGGCCTTGCCAGGACCTCAGGCCATGCCCCCCACCCAGCAGGGCTTGACAGGGGACCTCAAGGTTCACCCCCAGTGCTGGGTTGGGGGATTCAGGCTGAGCCCCCTGCCCAGCGGGGCTTGTTGGAGGACCTGAGGCTGCACCCCCAAACCCCACCTGGCAGGTCTTGATGGGGGACCTCAGGGTGGATTGACTGGGGACCTCAAAAGGTGTGCTTCCCATCCTGGTGCTGGGGTAGGGGACCTCAGGCTGCTCCCCCCACCCCAGCGCCAGGCGGGGGACCTCAGGCCATGACTCCCACCTGGCGGGGCTTGACAGGGGACTTAAGGCCGCGCCCCCCTCCATAGCCATAGGCTAGGAGACCTCAGGCTGCACCCCCTGCTCGACGGTGCTTGATGGGGCCTGAGGCTGCGCCCCTCCTGCCTATCTGGGCTTGACAGGGGACCTGAGGCTCAAACCCCCTGCCTGGCTGGGCTTGACAGGGGATCTCAGGCCATGACCCCAACCCAGCACTGGGCCAGGGGACCTTAGGCTGCATCCCCCTGCCTGGCTGGGCTTGACAGGGGACCTCAGGCCCTGCCCCCGACCCAGCAGAGCTTGATAGAGTACCTCAAGGTGCACCCCCAGTGCTGGGTTGGGGGAACTCATTCTGCGCCCCCTGCACAATGGGGCTTGATGGGGGACTTGAGGTAGTGCCCCCCCCACCTTCTGCCGGTGGGGCTTAATGGGGGACCTGAGGCTGCGCGCCGCCCCTCCCCCCCCACTTGGCAGAGCTTGATGGGGGACCTCAGGCCATGCCCCCCACCCTGGTCTGGGCTAGGGGATCTCAGGCCACACCCCCTGTCCTGACACTGGGCCAGGGGACCTGAGGTTACTCCTCCTGCCTGGTGGGGTTTGTCAAGGGTGGGACTGGCTGGGTGTGGATCTAGCCCAATGGGTGGGGCAGCACATGTGGGTGGGCGAGGACTTGACTCTGGGTCCTGAGGTGCGCCCCAGACTCTGACAGGAGGAAGGTTTTCATATACATTTTACTAATTTTCTTTCATCTCTGACACTTCTATTATAGAGAAAGGGCAAATAGCAATATTATTTCCTCTAGTTAATCCCCTTTTAATATGCACAAATTTCATGCAAGTGGGGATGGCATTGGCAGGAGGAGCAGGGCTGCCTGCATACAGGTGACTGGGTGTCACGGTGGGAGGGGCTGGGCAGGGGTGTGGAGGATGGGCCAAGACCTGCCCCAAGGTTAAAATGTAACTTTAACTTTATCTTAACTGCCTTATATCCTTTTGAGTTAGATGGTATCATGATGAATGAGTATTTTACATATCATACCAATTTAATTTTAAAACCAAGATGAACACTTAAGTTGATAGATATGCGTTTATCTTTTCTGTGTGTGTGTGTGTATGTGTATGTGTGTGTAGGGATAATTGCAGTTGGAAGAAATAAAACAAAGATCTTTTGTACGCTTTGCCTGGGTTCCCCCAATGACATTTTGTAGAACTATTACTCTACAACGTTATATCCAGAATATTGACATCGTGAAATTCACTGCTTTATTCAGATGTCTTCAATTTTACATGTACACTTTTACATTTGTTTGTATGTTTCTTTTTTCTTTTTAAAAAATATATATATTTTAATATATATTTTATTGATTTTTTTACAGAGAGGAAGAGAGAGGGATAGAGAGGGAGAATCATCAATCAGCTGCCTCTTGCACACCCCCTACTGGGGATGTGCCCACAATCAAGGTACATGCCCTTGACTGGAATCAAACCCGGTACTTTTCAGTCCGCAGGCTGACACTCTATCCATTGAGCCAAACCGGTTTCAGCTGTTCGTATGTTTCTATATCTGCCACTTCAGTCAAGATACTGAATACTTCCTTATCACAAGGGTCTCTGCTTCTCTCCCAGTGCTTTTATTTTTCCTCCCTTATCTCTAACCCCTGGTAACCATTAAGCTTTCATCTTTTCTAAAATGTTGTCATTTCAAAAATGTTAAATAAATAAAATCATTTAAGATTGACTGTTTTAGTATAATTCCCTGGATATTTATTCAACGTTGTGTGAGTCAGTCTATATTTAAAAGCCTAATATGCAAATTGTCCCTGTGGGAGTTTGCTGGGAGACTGATTGCTTGCTGTGATGTGTGCTGACCACCAGGGGAGGGAGGCCCCAGCTGGCCTGATTTCCAGCCAGGCCTGGGGACCCTATATGTGCACGAATTTCATGCACCAGGCCTCTAGAAGTTTATAATTTATTTTTATTATATATATTTTATATTTTAGTTAGAAAACTCCTGACTATTTTAAAACTTAGGTTCTACTTTTTTTTTCTTCTCTCATCTATTTTTAAAATAAATATATTTGCCTTAAATTTAGGTGACAAAACACGACCACCTTCCTCAAGCCCCTCTTCTATTATTCGCCGCACTTCCTCTCTGGATACACTTGCTGCTCCATACCTTGCAGGGCACTGGCCTCGTGATAATCATGGTCAAACTGCTCCTTGCATGAAAGACAAAGCTACACAGGTAGGTGTATTACAGGTTTTATCCTGAAGTGTTTTATTCTGAGACTGTTTCTCATAATTTTTATTTTTATTTCTCATAATTATTTGTTCTTGTCTGTGATCAAATTCTTAAAACATCCGTGTACCTTAGAATAATCTGAAACTTATCAAAAGAGCAGAAGGCCTGATCTCTAGATATTCTGTAGTAGATTTTGGTTGAGGCTTGAGAATGTACATTTTAAACATTTCCCCCTACTAGCCTTAAACAGAATTTTTCATATATCACTACCTCTGAAATACTATCACCGGCTTACTGCTTTTTGTTTATCCAAATCAACAACAGTTTTTCTACCTTTTCAATAACCTATGGTTATTTTGTGAGCATTTTCACACTCTTTGTAACATTAGCACTCTCGATGGTTTCTTTATGTTTTACAGAGAGGAAGGAGAGAGATAGAGAGCTAGAAACATGGATGAGAGAGAAAAATATACCAGTTGCCTCTTGCACACCCCCTCCTGGGGATGTGCCCGCAACCAACGTACATGCCCCTGACCGGAATTGAACCTGGGACCTTTCAGTCCGCAGACCGACGCTCTACCACTGAACCAAACTGGTTTCGCTTCTTTATGTTTTAAAAGCATTCTCTCCTTTGTTGCCTGAGAGATGCTTTTTGTCATGCATGAATGGGCTGTCAGGTTGAAAACCAAAATTTTGTTCCACAACAGAGATGATTTTTCTGTGAACAACGTGGTCGAGAACAGAATTGTTCTAGATGGGAGGTGTTTGAGGACCAAGGTTTGACTAAATTGTATTACTTATTCTTCATTTCTGAGTGGTTCTTTTATGTGGTTTCTGTGTCCTTTTTTGATGCTTATAATTCTTTAAGACTGAGCTATCCATTCTTCCCTAAGTTTCTTGAGCATCTTTAAAACCATTGTCTTAAATTCTGCCTCTGGTATTTTGATTACTTTATTTAATTTAATTTAATTCTTTGGGTATTTCTCTTATTTTTTAACTTGGGGCATACTTATTTGTTTCTCCATTTTGTTTCTGTGTATTAGGTAGATCTGGTACAACTCCCAAACTTATTATGGTGGCTGTATGATGAAGGTGTTGGGCTCAGTGGCAAAACCTTCCAGAGCACCTGAGCTCCATGCTCCAGGAATGTTTGTGTGTTATGTGCACTCTCCTGTTGTAGTTTAGTTTTGAATGCTGTTTAGCCTTTTGTGGGTGGACTTAACCCTTCAGGCTGGCTGACCATAAGGATGAACCTCAATCACTGTGTGAGGTGCTATGCAGGGGCTGCTCCCTAAGGTGAAGTTGTACCCAGCAGGGCCTGGTGACTATCAGAATTCCCTTTGGGGTATGCCAATTGTTTGGCTAGTTGGGTTGAGCTCTGGTGTGGTCTGGAGTCCACCACTGGTTGTGTTGGTTCTGGGCCCATTTGGATGAGGTTCATGTCAGATGTTATGCTTAACCAGCGTTGGGCTACCTGTCTGGAGCTACTATTATATGTTCTTCACCTTTGTGGCTGCATCTCCTTGGCCTGGGTATGTGTGGTAGAGGCCTATCTATCTATCTATCTATCTATCTATCTATCTAGAAACCTAATATGCAAATTGTCCCCATGGGAGTTCACCTGGGAGATGAATCGCTTGCTATGACATGTACTGACCAAGGGATGGCACAGAATGAAGGAAGGCCCTGGCTGGCAGCCGGCAGCTGGGGAAGGGAGGCCCCAGTGGCAGCTGGAAGGCCCTGATCAGCCCCGATTGCCAGCCAGGCCTAGGGACCCTACCCGTGCATGAATTCTGTGCACCCGGCCTCTCATCTGTGTATAAGGGTCAGTTTCCTCCAACTTCGAGTTGGTGGTATGTAAGAGGACAGATTCTCTGAGGTCCAGCTCTCCCTGGAGTTGCCTGGTCTTCCTCCAGAGCCTTCTGAAGAACAAGTGGAGAGTGTGTCCACAGGTTGCAAGCTTGGTAGCAGGTGGGTAACCAGGATTGGAAGGTGGAGCTAGAGACCCCCTAATTGGAGGTCATGTGGTCAGGCACTCAATGAGAGGAAAGTGACCCCTACTCCAGAGCTAAACCACTCAGTCACTGCCAGTCTCCAACTCAGGTTCACCCAGGAGGGGCACGCCATAGTTTTAAGTTGGGTGCAACCAGCCATCTTCTCTGCATGAGTCAAATCCGCTGGGCAGAGCCACTGGACTCAGGAGGACAGATCAAGAGTCTCCCAACAGGAGACTTTTTCCTGGTTGCAGACAATAGCCTCTGAGGGACTCATACTCGAATATCCCAGCTCTGAGCAGCTCTCCCTTCCTCCTGCAGAACTGAGCTCAGCTAGGTTGGGTGTCTGGGACTTGGAAGGGCAGATCCAAACAGACTCCCATTGGGGGTGGTGCCTGCAAACCTGTAATAGGGGAGCAGGCACTTCTTCCCCTTCCTGGAAGGGGTGAGCTTGCAGAGAAGATAAGCGGGGCTTCCTGGGGATATAGCCACACAAACCAGCACTCAATCTTCTAATTCTTAGACAAACGTTTCCCTGAGAGCCCTGGCCTGGTGGCTTAGTATGTCGGAGCGTTGTCTTGTACACTGGAAGGTTGTGGTTCAATCCCTGGTCATGGTATGTATAGGAGGCAATCAGTTGATGTCTCTCTCTTTTTCTTTTCCCCCTGCCCTCCCTCTAAAGTCAATAAACATATTCTGGAGTGGGGATTATGTAAAACAGTAAATAAGTAGATAATTTTTAAAAAGCTTCTCCGGGAGGCACACTATGCAAGTGCCAGCTCTGCACAACCTCTGATCCCCCTTTACAGCTGAACTCAGCAGGACAAGGCTGGACAAGTAATTCAACAGGTGGGGTTGTGGGGATTGGCTCTGCGCTCAAGGTGGGGAACATTGGTCCCCTTTCCAAAGGCACACAATTTAGTCACTAAGTCTTCATCAGGAACCTCCTCAGAAAAAGGGGGCCCTGAACGTCATTGCTGGGTGCAGGCAGCAAACCCTCTCCGCAGGACCCCAGCACAGCAGAGTGGTCTGGCCAGCAGTTGGGGACCAGGCAGTGTATTCCCCAGGCTGGTGCTATAACAATAGGAGTGCTCTTACCTGGGAAGGTGTCTGTGTCTTCAGCAGACTCACTTGTCTCCCAGGCAGACTAAATCCCCACCAATTTTCACCAGCAGAAGCTCATCTATGCAGGTTCCTCTTTCCATCACTGTTGTTCTGTGTTGGGGATCCTTCTGTGGGTTAAGACCCGACACTCCTGGGGAAAAGGAGTTTGTTTCCTATCTTTCTGTTGAAGTTCTCATTGAGATCATTGAGCATCCTTATTACCAGAGTTTTTGACGTCTGCATCAGATACATTGCTTGTCTCCAATTTAATTCTTTTTTGAAGTTCTGTTTTTTCATTTGGGACATGGTCTTTTGTCTCCTCATTTTGGCTGCCTCTCTGTTTGGGTAAGAGTGTTTTTATATAGCAAGTGCCCTGTGTGGCTCAGTGGCACATGCTTTTTGTTCACCTGAGCCAGGCACTCCAGGTATGTTCCTCGTTTGAGTCCTATGTGCCCTCTAGGATAGTTGAGCCTTGATTGCTGTTGGCGTGTCAATGGGAGGGAATTGATCCTCAGACTGATTGATTTGAGGACTGATGGTGACTATTGTGGAGGAGATACTGTGCAAAGGCTAATCCTATGGAGCAGGATTCGCTTTAGTGGGGTTCTGGTGCCTGGCCAGTCTGTCTTTTGAGTGTGTTATTTGTGGATGTGGTGCTCTGGTGGAGTTGGGCACTGGGTATGTTGGTTCTCAGGCCTCTTGGGAGGTGCAGGCCAAGATCAGCCACTGCCTGTGCCCTGGTTGGGGGCCACCTGCTCTGAGCTCTAAAGTGATCTGCAGATGGTTGCCCCTTGTGCTGGACTTGGTGGTGCCAGAGAGAGGCCAAGCTGTGAACCAAATCTGGCTGCCACAAGTGGCTAGCCTGAGCCCACTTATCAAGCAATACAGGGCACATTGAGGCCAAATTCCATATGTTTAGGGTTTATGAGGCATGAAGTGATTTAGGAAAGTCTATATGAGACAAGACAGGCCGTTTGTATGGAAAACTACTGGAAGAGGCTTGCTTGGGCCCACAATTTGGGTGGGTCAGGGTCTCAAAGAATTACTAGGACAGAATTGATGCTGTTAGCTAAGATGGTGGATTCTCAAACATAGTGCCTGCCTGCACCTGTAGGGGGAGAACTTAGCAAAGGAAAATGGCCTTTGTTAGCACTTCTAAGAGAAAGCTGCACCTCTAGCCCTTGATATAAAGACACACAATTTAGTACCTTCTCCTATATCCCTGGTGCCTTAGCACTGGAGCTCAAAATGAGTGAGCCTGTCAGCAAATAAGTTTGTTCAGGCCCTTTAAGAGGAATGTCTGGGACTCCAGAGCCCTTCCTTGCAGCTACAATCTCTGCTGATTTTCACAGCCAGAACTTATGGGAACTTCTTTTCCTGGCACTAAAACCTATGGACTGGAGGACCTGATAGGGGGTTGGGAGCCCTCACTCCTTGAGGGGATACCTCTGCCCCCAGGATAACCCTTCTGATTTTTTAAATTTATTTTTTTATTTTTATTGATTTCAGAGAGGAATGGAGAAGGAGAGAGAGAAACATCAATGATGAGAGAGAATCATTGATTGGCTGTCTCCTGCACACCCCACACTAGGGATCTAGCCCGCAATCCCAGCATGTGCCCTTGACTGGAGTCAAACCCAAGAACCTTCATTCCACAGGCTGACACTCTATCCGCTGAGCAAAACCAGCCAGGGGGCTATCCTGATTTTTAAGTGTTTCATGTGTGTGAGACTAGCCCATTCATCATCTTTACCTCTTACTAGTCCTGACTTGGTTTCTTGTGTATATTTTTAGTTTTAGGACTTCTGTTCAAGCAGACTTCAGGCAGTACTCAATGATGGCTCTGTAAATGTAGTTGTAACTTTTAGTGGTCATGGGAGGAGGTGAATACAGCTACTTCACCAT